AAGCATATGAGTTTAATTTTCTGACCGTGTAATGAACTATACACGGTTATTAACACAGTAATTAAAAGTCCCACTGTCTGCTTTGCTATTGGTGTCGTGTTTAAACGGCTCACCATCATGCTGAAATGTGTTGCGGTATAAATACGGTCCGGTGCGGTCAGTCACTTCAGTATCAGGTGGGTTTAAGAGGAATTTTTGTCACTACTACATCTGCAAAGAGACGTTGTAGTGCACAATTGCGTGGGGGGCCGACTGGGTGTCAGGGTCGGGGGCCCCTAAGCAACTGCTGTCTCTGCTTACCGATATTTACGCCATTGCACAGGTTTGCCTGCTGTGTCTAAAAGTAGCAGCTGCAGCAACCCAGACTGACAGCTCATTGGCTCATTTCATCAAGTGAAGTTAGACACTGCCGTCACACAACATGTGTTAATTTATAAATGTTTTAAATCAGGTTGGTTCCAGATCTGGACAGCTAATCTGTGACCTCTGGTATAAAGCCTCAAACTCAACGTTATTTCTGGCATTTTGAATTAAAAAAGCTTCCTGGATGGGAAGTTACACCTCTTCAAACTTGGAAACAAAGCCCGGCGGAAAGAGAGAATGGATATTTTAGCTGCCTGAAATAATCAGTTCCCCCTCCATAACATGGGAAGAAACAAATATACCTGCAAGTCTTTATCTGTGTTTATTCCTCTCTTCATCAACAACAAATCCTGTGGATTTTGTGACGGGCTGCGTTCCTGTGCATGCTGCCACTCTCTGGAGAATTCCAGTACTGAACATTTGACTCAGATCAGCTCAGAACTGAGATCCGGGGCTGTAGCCCCTAAATCCGCTACTGCTTTTGACATAGATTGATTTTTACTTCCAGGCTTTAGTGACGGACTCCTGGTTTTGTTTACAGGTGCCTTGGAGAACTTTGTGTCTTCGCTGGAAATGGTGAACAGAAAACTCCCATTTGGCCTGGCAGAGATGGGTCCGTGTTTCCAGCCTTCAGATGGCTCTGGTTGGTGAGGTTTCAGCTATTCTTTGAAACTAATCAGCAATGGACTGGGTTCATTCAGTCAATATCCAAAGATACAAGTGAAGATATTTAGGGTGCAACACACTGATTTCTCGAGTTTAACATCCTTACATTTCTCTCAATTGTGAGTGAGAAACTACAGTGATATAAGACTTAGAGAATCTTTTATTGTCATTTTGTATTTAGAGGGCGTATACAAAATTAAATTTCGATTCCAACAGCTTTTCAAGAGTGAATGAGCAGCTTATAGCAGTGAAATGAACAATGGAACATTTCCAAACATCCAGTCAGCAAGGAATAATCAATGGATCATTATTTATACCTAAAACTAATATGTTCGCAGTGATTTAATGAATTTAGCGTTAATCAGTAAAAAAAATTAAGTCTGGGAGCGGCCATTTTTGCCCAAATATAGTAACCCCTCCCTCCTGCCATCTTCCAGCAGTGACGTC